TTTTCCCCCCCAAAATATATATTGTATATTATCGGGGCTATTAATACTGGTATCGGGTTTATCGGGATGACGTCATAATTCCTAATATCGGACCGATAATTATCGTGCATCCCTAATATATATATATATATCTTAATGAATTTTATATAAAACAATATATTTTTGAGTGGGCTGTATCTGTCGAAAGCTGCTGTCTGCTGTATGCACCTCCCTTACGAAATGAACTATAAATGAATTATAGTATTACTATAAGAGTTGTATAGTGTCCTTTAGTAAGTTTGTATTTTTCACCAGCTATTGTATTACTATAATTTGTTATGTAGTGCCATTTTATTAGCTATAGTAGCCCTATAATATTTCAATAGTAATACTATGTATCTAGATCTTTGTAGTATTCCTATATTATTTTAAATAGTATAACTATAGTATAATATATAGTGTTTCTGTAGTTGTTTTTTGAACACACTATAGAACACTCCTATAGTAATAGTATGATGTTGTCATAATGAATGCATATTATTACTAGTGTTTGTAAAAGTATTGCACTCCTAGAATTAATGTGTAATTTTTTTTATATCAAATTAATTTATATATATATATATATATAGCTGTGTAGCTGTACACTTTACGAATATAAGTTACGAATATAATAGTTTTTTATGGACAACTTTACCATTCAGTCTCGTCCAACTGATCTTGCAGCTGTCACTCCTCGGCTCTTGGTAGTTCAGGCATTTATCAAACCTGGCAACACCGGGCTTCCTGGCAGCTGTCAATCAAAGTCTCGTGGCTCCGCCCCAAAGTGTCAGAAACTTTTCACGCGCGTACTCCGCAAGCAAGTGAGGCTGACACTCCCGCGAGCTAGCAAGAGGGCTGTCTCTCTCGCGAGCGAGCGCATAGCCGCTCGCCGGGGTTTAATCTGCGTGCGGAGGTCATTTCATGAGCGTGTAAAAGCACATTTTCCACTCGTGAGTAGCTTGTTTTGCGCGCTAGAATATTGACCCAAATCTGACTCCATAGCCCCCCCAAAAAACGAAAACTCTTCGGTTCTCCACGAATTATACAAGTCACCCAAATCAGCGTTAAAAACGCGGGAGGCTAATTTGCATCACTGCATATATCTACTCTGTAAGTTCCTTCTCGATTTCTAAACTTCTCAGGGTGTCATTTAAGACAAACAGTTAACGGAAACCAGAAAAATATATTATGTCATGTCAGTGACGGTACAAACCTGTCTATTCTGTGGATGATCTTCCTGGTCACTGTCACTCTCATCTTCCACGTCTTTCTCCTCCGCATTGACCTGCTTTGGAGGCTCCTCAATTGCTGAGCCGCTTTTCCTCTTGGGCATCTTGGACAGCTAGTTTACATTCGGGGAGAAACTGAAACTGAAAGCAAGCAAACAATATACTTTACTAGCATCGTCGAGCTAATGCTTGAATTTGAACAGCTACTCTTACATTACATTACATTTAGCTGACGCTTTTATCCAAAGCAACTTACAATAAGTGCGTTCGACCAACAAAATACAAACTTGAAGAAAACAGAATCATATAAGTACATCAGGTTTCATAGAGAAAAAACATTTCAAGTGCTACTCCACTAGCTTTAGATAAGCCAGTCCTTTATTAGTATAAGTGCTTTGTTAATAGTTCTATTGCTCGAAGTGGAGTCGAAAGAGATGAGTTTTCAGTCTGCGCCGGAAGGTGTGTAAGCTATCTGCTGTCCTGATGTCAATGGGGAGCTCATTCCACCATTTTGGAGCCAGGATTGCAAACCCACGTGTTTTTGCTGATGGGAACTTGGGTCTCTTCTGCTACTAAAACGCTAACCTGCATTTCGCAAACCTTCAGTAATAATTGATGTGGTTTAACCTTTAGATATACAGTCTATGGGTTTAACAGGTTAAACGACAACAATGACAGCACGTTAGTAACGTTGTTTGGTTACAGCAATAATTAGCAACGTTACAAAGCTAGCTTAGCTGGCTAACTCAGGTTACTTGTTAACATAACAACTATTAAGCCAGACAGCAGCTGGGAATGTTGAGGTTGTTATAGTGAATTAGAACGACTGGTAACTGTGAATAATTACCTAATTTGCTGCTGCAGCCGCACACACAACTCCAACACAGTTTGGAGAAGACCCCTCGTGTCGAATTCGCGCTTTCTATATGCGGTAAAGTCTCGCGTTGAAAAACGAGATCAAACGGTCTAATAATAATACATTTTATTTGTGGATCAGAAAGGGGTCTGGCGTGGATCATTCAGATACACCTTAACTGTAAAACCCGATTAGTTCGGAGTACTCAAAACTTTTGTGGAAACTGATTACCACCAAAGCTTTAAGTAAACTAACTTAAGACTATAGAGTAAATGATTGATCAAAAATGATAAGTTACTTAAACTTAAATTATTATTTTTGTATTGTACTGTACTTATAAACATTGTTTGACACATTTTAAATGTTTAATTTCTCCATAATGAATTAGTTTGATGCAAAAGTACTTAATTGCATGAATATTGAAATCAACACATATATTTCTAGACAACTCATTGGCCAATATTTTCTTATTTATTTAAGTACAAAATACTCAAAGAACTTCAACAACTTCTGTAGACTTTAGTTTTTTAAAATTTATTCAGTCTTAAATTGTTCATCCAATCAAAACATGAATTCTAAAACATGCAATTTCTTACTGCAACACTTTTTTTTTAAAAAAGACCATCAAACTGTAAGTTACATTTCAAAATAAAAGAATTAGAAATTTAAATACATTTTTCAAAAGGTACTTATTGTTCACAAAAAAGTAAAATTAATTCAAATTAGTTATATTTTCTTTTTGTAAAAAGAAACATTTAAAGGAGTTTTGCAAGCCGTTTGAGTATTTATTCCATATCCTTGATATCAGACGGCAGCTGCCTACACTAGTTGGCTCTTTGATTTCACTTGTTAGATATATGGTCACACTAGTTTGGCACTCTGCTTTACTAGTTGAATACACAATTATACTAGTCACTCTTTTTCAGCAACTAGTGGCACTTTTGTCCGACTAGTTACCACATAAGCCTTACTAGTGATGCCAGGAGCAGCACTAGCAGCACCAAAGTCCCAACTTGTCAGAGTGTTTGCAGTGCAGTTAACTTTTAGTGTCACTAGTACGGTCAGAAGGTCACTAGTTCATCACAAAAGCTTACAAGTTGGGACTTTGGTGCTGCTCCTGGCGTCACCAGTAAGGCTTATGTAGTAACTAGTGAGACATATGCCAAATATGTCCATATATACTGTTGTTTATTCATGCAAAATGCCCCGTTTCTGACTGGCTGGTCCCGATATCTGTATCGCACGGCAGTAGAGCGGGGAGCCCGGAGTGCTCTGTTTCAGGGCACTCTGTATTTCGTATTGTGTTTTTTACCATTAAAATCAGATTATTGTTATAACTTTTATGCCGGTGTTTTGAACTTCTTTTATTAATCTGACCAGGCTCATCTGACGGACGGCGCGGAGCAGAAGTGGGCTTTAAGCCACCACTACTGTGTTTGCTTCTACAACACTATTGTCTCCTGAGCTCTGCACAGGAAAAGGCCGACCGGTACTTCCTTCCTCCTTGGCTGAACTTATCAAAACTGATACACATAAAGCAATCCAAACTGTCACCTGTATATTAAATGTGATTTTAGTGTAAAAGCAGTTACTATCTTGACTTAAATTCAGATGAATCTTCAGTTACTGTAGAACAGATCAATACAAATCTTCAAATAAGACATGCATTGTATTACGTAATGTATCCTAAACATGGACAACATGTTACATAGTAAATTAACTTAAAGAATATCCTACTTTTTTATTGTAGTGTCAATGTGACAGTACCCTCTAGTCAAAGATGTTGATCTTTTATACGATTAAAAAAGGAAATGGATTATATTTTGTTTATTTAAACAAACATATTTTTTTATTCCAATTAATCTGTTAAATCATTTGGATTGAGGCTGATTTTGCCCGAGTGTTCACATTTGCCTTGGATAAACATATAGTTTTAACAAATCCACTATTTAGAGGTACTAGATTTATTTTTAAAGTATCGCAAGAATCAGACAAGATACAAATAAGTTAACTGTAACTTTCTATCTTATTAGGTTTTTAATTACGCTTTGCCAAATCTTTCCAACAAAGCAGAACAAGACACACACACACCCATCAGCAGGCGGTTTTTTCAGTACAACAGGACATTAACAGAACACCAACCTTCCTGACTTTTTTGTACATTTCTTCCTTTTCTTCTTCTCTTCTTTTGCCTCGTCTTGCTCCTCCTCATCTACCAGCGGCTCATACGTCTCTGGCAGAAATGCAAAATGAACTCCTCGATGGCTCTTCTCATTTTGTCTGTTGTCACCCACTGTTCGGCTGTCGTTGTGTCCAGAGTGATCCGGGCTCTCCTGGTGATCCACATGTTGCTGATATTTTGCTGCTTGTACATTGAGAGTGTCACCTGAGGCTGTATTTCTATCAAACAACCTCAACGGAACAGATTTGGTCTTCATGTTGTCTGCTTATCGCAGTGCTCAGGGATGTCATAAAAAGTACCACTTGCCTCAGGAGGTCAGGTATGTTGTCAGCAGATGTTATGTGCATGAGTGGAAGTGCATTCCAACGGACCGCCTTGTGTGGAGGATTTGGCACAGAGCTCTTAAAGGTGCAAAGCATTCCTCCTCACAAGACTGACCCCAAAAGCGTTTCACGTTTTAAAGCAGATTCAAATCACACTGACTTTTATCCAGAGAATGGGCTGAAGAGGACAGCAGGATTATGTGTGTACTGTGAGATGAACTTGAATTATGACTTCCAGTTAGCGAGACAAGTACAGAAATTGTCCTGACATATGCATAAAAAACACCAACACTGTATTTTTCCCAACTCGTTTGTTTTAATTTACATAAAACAACATCATTAACTTAGAAATGTGCCAGTTATAACAACAAATATTTTGGCAAGGTAAACAAAATTCCCATCCTTCCCCCTCTATATAACAGAACTTAACATTATATACCCGGTTCAGTGTAACAAAACATTTAATATAGCTTAGTATTAGAACTACTACTCGTTGTCGCCGTCTTGACTACTTTGTTCCTTTATGCCACGATCTGGGTCTTTGAGACGGAGGATGCGGATATTTTTGCTCTGTGGAAGAGAGCTGAAACAAAAAAAACAAACATGACAATGTGACTTGGAGACAAAGTGTCTGGTGCTCTTTCCCAGAGAAACTAGGCAGCATATTGAAATCACATGACCTTTACTCCTGAACAGATTTACTTAATCAAAGCTCATTTATTAAGAATATATAAACAGTAACCAAGTCAATAAATCATATTTGAGTGGTCCTACTGCTTTGATATACAAATATATAAACTAGGGCTGTCAAGTTAACGCGTTAATAACGCAAACAAAAATTAACGCCACTAATTATTTTAACGCGATTAACGCATGTGCATTTTTTGTCCTCGGCCACCCCGTAGTTTCAGAGCGCATCGAGTTTAAAATACCATCTACAAGCTGATGCTGACAGCCCCGCTCCTGCCGCCCGCTTGCTGCAGACCACACTTCCACGCTCCCTGACTGGCCATCGGGAGGACCGGGAGAGACCTTACGCGTATTGTTGTTGTTAGCATCTGGTGCTAGCTAGCTGCGCTAACGGATATAAGGAGCTGTTTCAATGAAAACAGAGGAGTGACATTTCGCCGACAACTGCGCCGAGCACTTGACTTTATGCAGGTAACCAGACAGTGGGACATTGTACGAAAAATCAACACACTCAGCTCGGATAGTGCGCGCAACATGATTGCAGCGTCCAGGCAGCTCCCGTTCGAGCATATGCCTTGAGTTGCAAATAGCTCCAACGATCCATCACGCGCACACACACACACACACACACACACACACACACACACACACACACACACACACACACACACACACACACACACACACACAGTATTATTGTATGAGAGAGGTTCCAGGTTGAATTGAGGCGAATATTTGTAATGTTCAGAGGTTGTTGTTTAATATTCATGAGAATTGTTGTCATTGTTCAAATGATAATAAACATTTGTATAAAGCATATTTGTCCACTCATATGTTGATAAGAGTATTACAAATATTCCTCTAAGGTACATTTAGAACAGATAAAAAATGTGCGATTAATTTGCGATTAACTATGGACAATCATGCAATTAATCGCGATTCAATATTTTAATCGACTGACAGCCCTAATATAAACATGTAATCAGTGAATACCTTATGCTCTGTGGTGTGAGGAAGATGAACTGTCTGTAGCGCTGACCGGAAGCCACCTTTAGCATCATGTCCATTGAGATCCTCCTGTTCACCATGTCCTAAAGAAAACCAAGACTCATGTTATCTTTTGATAAATAAGGCTATAGAGACCATTTCATGTAATGCCAAGACCTTGCATAGGAACTTTCTCCAAACTCCTTCCTAAAATAGTAATTCCATGCTATTTTTAAGATGCCATTTAGGCACGGTGCAACCTTATCTAGACAAACTTGCAATATCAACAAAATAGGTTTTGTATTACCATGAAAACATCAAACTCGTCAAGACAGCGGAAAGGCGCCTCTGTGATGACCCAAAGGGAGACCACAAAGCACACGGTGGAGAAGGAGCGCTCGCCTCCGGACAGAGAGCGCATGTCACTCAACTCCACACTGCTTCCCTGGCCTGGCTGCACCTACAGAGGGAAGAAGCCAAACAAAAACATTTGATCTAAGCCAAACTTTTTTCACCGAGGGCCACATACAGAAAGATATTCGAAGGGCTGGGCCACTCACTAGAGGTGAGGTTTATTGCCTCATAAGTGAAGTTATAAGTTAGCTAAATCAATCAAATGTAAGTCAATTGTGCTTGGTACAGCAGCCTACATCACAACTCTCCAGAGGGTTTCATTTATTATTACATTATTACATTGCATTTAGCTGACGCTTTTATCCAAAGCGACTTACAATAAGTGCGTTCGACCAACAAGATACAAACTTGAAGAAACAGAATCATATAAGTACATCAGGTTTCATAGAGCTAAAACATTTCAAGTGCTACTCAACTGGCTTTGGATAAGCCAGTCCTATTAGTATATAAGTGCTTTGTTAGCAATTATTTGTTAGTAATTATATCGCTCGAAGTGGAGTCGAAAGAGATGAGTTTTCAGTCTCCCCCGGAAGATGTGTAAGCTATCTGCTGTCCTGATTTCAATGGGGAGCTCATTCCACCATTTTGGAGCCAGGATAGCAAACCCAGGTGCTGATGGGAACTTGGGTCCCCCTCACAGTGAGGGTGCAGCGAGCTGTTTGGCTGATGCAGAGCGGAGTGCACGTGCTGGGGTGTATGGTTTAACCATGTCCTGGATGCAGGAAGGGCCAGATCCATTCGCAGCATGGTATGCAAGTACCATTGTCTTGAAATGGATTCTAGCAGTTACTGGAAGCCAGTGAAGGGAGCGGAGGAGCGGCGTGGTGTGGGAAAATTTAGGAAGGTTGAAGACCAAACGAGCCGCTGCATTCTGGATGAGCTGCAGAGGTCGGATGGCACATGCAGGTAGACCAGCCAGGAGGGAGTTGCAGTAGTCTAGGCGTGAGATGACGAGAGCCTGGACCAGAACCTGCGTCGCTTTCTGGATTTATTTTGTTAGTAGCTCATTCCTTAACCAGTTAAGCCCGAAGGTCCCCCCAGTGGACCCCTCCCACAGTTTTTTTTTTCTCACATGTCTCAGGGCTTCTTAACATTTATGAAACTATTAATGTTTCATACCCTTTTAAAGGTAAGAAACTCCGCTAACTGACAATAAGAACAATTGTTAGCTAAAAAAAACACAAGAGTAATACCAAGCCTTTGAATTAGCATTGAGCGAAAAAATGCTAACTAATGCTAACGCTTTTTTACACACAACACACGGTAGAAATGCCCTTATTACTATCTTAACTGCACAAACAAGATATACGATTTAAAGCTGAGACTCCACAGATTCCACACATGTAATGTCATCACTGTCCGACCTCGAATTCCTGGAGCTATCAGCCAGAAAAGAGAAAGTAAACAACATCCGGTTTCAAAAATATTACAATAATTACGTCTTACCTTTTTTGATTTGTGATCAAAAGTTGTGTTCAACGGAATAAAAACGCATCTCAAGGTTAATCCAATGTCTTTGTGTCACGTATAATTTTTTACTGATAATCAATCATCATATTTATGGCAATATACTCGGTATAAAGTATTGCCGTCCAGGCTTGCACTTTCAGATATGCTTCGTTTGCTTCTCTATTACATCCGCTATGGTAATGTTTACGTAGATTTGGGAACTGCCCATCGATTCTATTGGTTCTGATGGTTAAGAAAAAGGTGTAAATCACACGAATCGACCAATGGGTTTCAGAGATATGGTCCTGCGTAAAGTATAAAGAATGCCAGCCAGCTTAAGTACATTACGCAGCCGACTTCATTTATTGTTTACAACGTAACGAAGCAGGAAATGCAGCAGGACCCAGAGCGCACGGAGCACAGAGCGGACAGCAGATAACGGAATTGCAGTTTTATTGCTTATAGATTATCAGAACATTCCAAAGGGGACACAGCCCCATTGGATATTAATCTATGGATTAACTACATCATCGTTTTTATCGTTTTAATGCCATTGAAGACCAGTTTAGACCAGACAACGAGGAAGGTAAGTCATTGTTAGCCTAGCGCATTAGCGCTAGCGCCATTTGTTTTGATGTACGTTTTTGTTGATAACGTCGCGAGTTTGTATCTTTCAGTGTTGGGCTGTTCAGGTGGGCACCGTTAGATTCTGTGTCTCCTTGCGATCATAAACAATGTGTTGGATGTGCAGCTAGGATAAGTAATAAGGGAGCGAGGAGTGATTTTCGGTGCTGTAATAGGTTAGCATTTTTCGCTCGGGGCTAATTCAGAGGCTCACTGTAAGAGTAGGCCTATGTTTTATTTTTATTTTTTCACAACAGTTGTATTTGGATGGAATGAATACCTATAGTGATAATTCAAAGTAATAAAATGATTTTTACAGTGAAAAAGTTCAAATGGAACCGATGGTTCCCAAATTACCCAGAGGTGAGTCCGCTTAGACTTTATTTTTCTAAATCTCTCTAAAAAGGTCAAATTTCACTTGTTTTGCATCAATCTTGATACAGGGTACTTATTATATGTTATAGTTTGGATTCCTAAAGCTTTTAGTCTACTAACCCATCATGCAAGGGTGGTTTTCACGATAAGTAAAGGTTTTTTTTTTAGGTGGACATTAGAATTTACATGTTTTTACTATGTTCCATCTGAATTTACTTTAAAATAAAAACATCTATATTGATTCTGACACTTCTACATCCAACTCACAGATGTAACCTTGCTTTGAGAAAAATAATTATTAATTTACCTCTTTTAGAAGTGAAGATATATCATTTGTTGTGTTAGTGGCATTTTCGAGCCTGAAACCTGAAAAACAGGCTCAGGGCTTAACTGGTTAAAGAAGGTAAACAGACATCAAGGTTTGTCCTGTATGTTACAAATTGGCGTCTATGATAATTATTTCCATAACAGAGTGTGCTGACTTTTCGTACAATGTCCCACTGTCTGGCTGCCTGCATAAAGTCAAGTGCTCGGCGCAGTTGTGGCGAAATGTCGCTCCTCTGTTTTCATTTAAACAGCTCCTTATATCCGTTAGCGCAGCTAGCTAGCACCATATGCTAACAACAACAATGCACGTAAGGTCTCTCTCTCGCTCGGGCCACACATACACACTAGGGCAGGGGTAGGCAAGTAAGTTTGGCCGTGGGCCAATTTTTTGCTGAGCCGCAAGATGGCGGGCCAGAACATAATCAAAGCCTAATTCAAGGAATTTATTTTGGTAAGAGGGCGCAGCGCCCCTGTTCCCCGGTTCAGAAAAAACTCTGATATCGCTGATAACCCTCCCCATCAACACTCTGATGCGCAGTCAGATCCGCTGATTGGTTCACTGATGATATAAGCGCCCAATCCAGAGCCTCTGTCTAGACCCGCCCAAAGGGAGGCTCGTCCTCTCTAGCCCCATTTCAGTCCCAAAGCCAGGGCTATTATCTGTATTTTAACAGACTTATCTTTTAAATTGAGGTGTATTTATTGTTCTCTTCAAAGTTAATTTTTCTCTGAAATTTTAGGGAGGATGGTCCTTCCTTTCCTCAATGGACGAGCCTCCACTGAGTAAAGTAGAGTTATTAACTAGGTAGCAGTGTTGTTTAACATACTTTTATTCTGATAAGTATTGTCAAGTTCTCTGGGTTTTTGGCATTTATTTGAGTGTTTGCCCACATTTGAGAGGCTTGAGGGACAACTGGAATCCTTTTTCCTTTTCTTTATTTCAACTTTTCAAGGACACATTAGGATTCTTTCAGGTTGAAAACCTTTAAAAAATACCAAAGTACAAAATAAATCAATTACAGCAGTTTTGCTTTGCAATTTCATATATTATAACCTAAATTAATCAGTAACCAAGTATTTTACTCAAACTCAATGTATTTAATAGTTAAATAAGTACTTTAATTGACCTGGTTCCCCCCAACCACACATTTGCCATATGTGACCCGCTCTATCGAAATCAGTCGAAAGTCGCAACGGCTCATTTCAAAATAAACGTGGATTTGCGTAAAAAAATAGTTTTTCGGGGATCGGGTGTTTTGTTTGATTTTAAATAAACAAAGTCTTGGCTTTCAGAATATGACATTTTTATTTCCAAAATCACACGATAAATACATGTTTGAAGCTTGTAAAGGGAAGATGACAGCTCTCACTAGCCACTCTGCTCTTCCACAGCGCCGCTTCCCCTCCCTCCGCTGACATTATGAATGTAAGCGGATATATCGGGACAGAATTTATTTTACCGGACAAATTTGAAACTTACCGGTCATGTTTCAATAATAATAATAAGAATTGTGTAGCAGAGTTTCCGTTAGCAGGTAATCACCGGACTAGGACCGGATATGCTGATGTTTAAAACTCAGTTAATGGGGCTCATTTGTATATTGCTTCAGTTTATAATCGTTACAGATCAAAAAATTCAGATTCATTTTTCCATAAATGATTCCACAAACAACATAATTATTACATTCGAACAAACTACTTGTAGTAGATGAAGTACATTATTCAAAAGTTTACATTAACTTTGAATAATAACACGGGAGAAACGGATGCTCTCTTTTCCCCTCTCCCTCCCTCTCTCTCATGCAGCTCGCTAAACAGTGGGCGGGGCTTCAGGTGATCATGCAGAGCTGCATGTCTCCATCAGACTCAGCAGCTGATCTGATCTCTCTCTCGGTCCGGTTATACTTCACTCGCGTTTATGTCCATATCGATCAGATCCAGCTCTCCTGATCGGCCTTTATAGAGAGCACCGATCAAACTATTAAGAGTGAATATCGATCGGCGGCTAACGGAAACCCTGATGTGCGACTGTCGGTCCTATGTTGTAAAAAAAAAAAAATCTAAATAATATTTTATTTTTGATTCTCAAAATTACGGGCCAAATATTATTGCTGGCGGGCCAACAATGGCCAGAGGGCCGCCTGTTGCCGACCCATGCACTAGGGGCTTCACCAACTAATCGACTAGTCGACTACCTTTACCACTAGTCGGCGCTGTAGGCCCTAGTCGACTAGTCGTGAACAAAATGGAGGTGAACGAGGTGCTGCAAAATGCTCCCAAAAACGTCCGACATTCATATGTATGGCAGTACTTCAAAGAAGACGTAACCAACTCCACAGTTAAGTGTCAGTTGTGTACATCTGTACTAAAGTACAACAAAAATACTTCTGCTATGCGCAAGCATCTAAAAATGAAACACCCGCTGCCGACAGCTAGCACTAGCAGTAATGCTAGCAGCACCAGTGAGCAACAGACCGCCGTCAGCACAGGACAGAGACAGACGAGCATTATTGA